AACCAGAATCTTAATCTTTCACCAATCCGAAGTGTCCCAAACGACACCAAGGATAGCTCATGAAACAAGGATATTTTGTGAAATTCTTAACCTTCGAACGCGGAAATCTTAACGATCTTCTTACAATTAATATTTTTGCATTGCATCCCTCCCCTAGTTGGGAAGTGACAAGCAAGAGACAAGTTCACAACGCCTTTTGATTGGAAGAAGTAAAATCTCATTCTATTGGTTATTAGTTGTGAGGACATAACTGCAACGGAAGACACAACTGCAACGGTAGCAACAGCCTCCCAGACTCGGTCAAGAACAGCGCGCTAGCTCGTGCTCTCGACGACTCGAAGAAGTCTGGGTTTAAACTTTGCGACCAAGCCTTTGGCTGACGTGTATATGAAAGAATCGAAGGAATCAATAAGGTACAGCTGATGCAGATTATTTACCACAATTTCCATACCCAACAATCCGTTAACTGTTCGTCTTAGGAACAGGTTAGGACCTCCAAGATGTGGGGGAGAATCTCCTCCATGGCACAAGCCGTGCAGGAGAAGCTGGAGGAGTCCCTGGGCGAAGAGCCAGCCGAGGACTTGGAGGCATCAGCAGGAACTCCGCCGGTCCAACATACTAAGGTTACTCATTCATTCGACTCGGATCGATGATATTTAATTGTTGATTTCTCTTAACCCGGGGCTTATTAACTTGTATTTATTCGTGTTAAAGGATGAAGATGTTATCTCAGAGCTTAGGAGAGCGCTGGGTGAATCGGAGAAGAGGAACGAAGAAATAAACCGTGAATTTCAGAAGTTGTTACGGCTGAAGGAGGTGCTTTTACATTTAGTGTTTATCTGCAAATTTGTGTCAAATAATGGCAAACCTTGGATATATCTCGTATAGATTGGAATATGCTGTTTTAACTGGCGTAGGATCCTTCAAGGGCTTGAGCAGTCCCTGCAATGCAGTATCTCATTAAATTAAATATTTTCTAGATCGTTACGATTACTTGCGAACCTAGACAAGTTGTTGGTTTCCTGGTTTGCAAATGGTAAGAGTTGTTGATCTGACAGAGCTTTGTTGGAAATGGAAAAAAATGGTTTAATTTGATTCGCGTTGTGGGGTTACTTTATCACCAAAATCATGCAAGCACGCGCAGATCTCTTCAGCACATTGTTAAATCGTGCATGATAAACATTTCTGACAGCGTTTTGCAAAATGAATTTAGTATCTGTTTTGAATTTTGTTCAACCTGTTTTTTTATCATAACAGAAGACCGTTATCACAAGTTTTTTTTTTCAGTCAAATCTTTGAGAAGTGTCGACACTAATGAGATCTCTGTTAGTTCATTTAAGGTGGCTCTATATAGTATTTTACAAGGCTTTGGGTATTACATATGCATGAATAGTGCAGTCTCCCTTGGCAAATTTTTATCTCACAACACTTGATAGAAGATCAGTAATGAAAGCCTACAGCCTTGGACGACCCTTTCAGAACCTTAAAGTTGTTGCTATGGCAACTACTGATAGAAATGCTTGGTTTGTCTTTTTTACCTACCTGACTTCTAGATGGTGTTTCTCGGTTTCTACGCGGTAAATTCTCTTTGTTTTTGGGGAAACAGAGTTAACATACAAGGAGTTTCAACTGATAAAGCCACAAGAAAATCTGTAGACAATTTTCGAAGTAATTCGCAATTTTCGTTTTTGACACGTATTACATTTATGTATGTATAAAATTCGATGATTTTTTTGTAAGAGCTAGAAAAAGAAAAATCCCATCCATGTGCCAATTTTCAAAAAAATTCACTGTCTGGATTGTGCCCAATATGCGCCTTTAGATTACTCTAAAACCCTTGTTTTTCGTGATGTCATCAAAACAGAAATTCTTTAAGTTACGGTAATGCGCATGCTCGCGTCGCTCTTTCTTCAGCACGTGCTAACTGAAAATTAGCCGAGAAATAGACACTTTTCCCCACCATGGCAAAAAGTATACCTGCTTGTGAAAAAACATGGAAGTGCGTGTTACCTTGTAGTTTCCTCCGCTGCTTTGAAGTGTTCAATGATCTTGGCTAAAATACGGGTTGTTTTTGATACTCGCGGGGCTTTACAAGTTGTTGAAGATAGAGGCAGAGACAATACACCAACAAGCCCTTCTGCTCCGAACTTCTCGAAAACATTTTTGAGATCTCGGTGTGAAATGCCACTTCCGGTTATTTTTTCAGCAATTTGTTGCTTGATGGGAAATTCTGCGTTTGTTGCATGATAAAGAGTTCCTCAGAACGTCTGCAGGAGTTCATAGCGATGATCAAGGTATTTCATGTCGTTTTCTGCGTACTGTGTTGATGACATGTTTTCTATCAACATGTCCTCTGAAACATTCAAACAGGAGTCAAAGACTATTCTTCTTAAAGCTTTAACATCCTCCATTGCATTGTGTGCGGGGAAAGGTTCAGGGAAAAGTGTCTGGTAAATGGATTGTTGATTTAATTTAACTGTTGAACCATCTGATGAGACCAGAGAGGGATGTTTACGTTTGACCAAGTTCTTCATCACAGGGAGAGTGTCAGAAAAGAAAACATTACGACAGGAAAGTTTTTCACAAAGTTGGTGTCCACCTTGACAAAGAAGGGTTGGAGTATCAAAAACCCGAGAGTTGTGCCTGATTAAAACAGTATAAATGTTATTATCACTTTTCACACGCCTGACAGTTTTTTCCAAGAAGGTTAGAAAATTTTCCAGTGACTTTACAAGTGACGCAGTTTCTACTGGTTGATTGTCTTTAAACAGGGTCCTGACTCCTCTGGCTGTTCAGACACCTAAACCATTTACCCTTGTAGCATGGATTTCTACATCCCTTCTACATCCCCTGTTGAAACAGTGCAAACCTGATTAATCAACTGCTGAAAGTTGACATATTTCTGTGGTTTTTCCACACGTGTTTGTTTCAATATCGTAAATTACGAAATTGCAAGCAGTGTTTCTGTCATAGGGAATTTCTCCACCGCTGGTCTGATTGTTAATTCAGGAATGCATGTTTCAAAGGTTTTCAGCTCCTCACTTGAAATTTTCAAATTGATGATGTCAAATTCTTGGATCAGTTTGGTAGAATCGTTTGGATTAAGGTTAAGTCCTATTCCACTTTGGTATGTGTTTCCTTCTTTAGCTTGTTTTTTACCTTTAAGAGTTAGCTTCTGCTTAGGTAGTTGAACTCTTTGGCGTTTGAAATTAATGCTGGTTTTTCTAAGTTTGTCATGGGTAGCCTTGTGATCCATCCTTTCAATGTGGCTGATACAGTGTATACCAGGTTCAATGTTGAGGCTCTCAAGTGTTTGGCTAATGTACTGGTATCCAAGGTTTACTTGGGAGATGCCACAGGCCACTCGGAAGTCATTACTTGCACTTGCCCCATAGTATCTAATTTTGGGGTTTTTTGACCCTATAACACTGTTTAAGGCCTCGTTTCTCTGCGAATTTGCCCCAGGTGATAACTTTGCAACTACTACATCAGTACAATATTCATCAAAAATTCTCTCCATAGCTTTCCTCAAGTCATCACCATAGAGATCTTTGCCATAGGGTAAGTCAGAGTGTTTATAGTTAATAGGGTCTTTCTTGGCACCACACCAGGATTCATTGCAATTTGTGTGGTTTCCAAAG